TGGGAGTGTTGGACGGCGGGCCACCTGGCTGCACCAGCGCCCGCCAGCTGTCCAGCCTGCTCACCTACAGCACCCACCGCGTTGGGACGCGGCCAGACCGAAAGCCAGATGGCCAAACCGAAAGCCACGCGCCCCACACCCGCGCCAGCTGGCAAAACCCAACGGTCAGCTCCCCCGACCCAATGCCATCTGTCAGCACCCTCCAGCTGGCGGCGACATCTGGCAGCCACCCGCCATCTGGCCATTCTCCCATGCATGCATATAATCCCCTGCATTTCGCCTTGTTTGTCATTCTCTCCTAGTGCCCTTCCTCAGTGACTGCCCTCTGCAGTCAGGTGTAAAGCCCTTCTCTCACAACAGGTTATGGGCCCCAACCCCCGCTGCACCAACTGAACCCCAAGGAAGTTTCCCCTTTGTACCTTCATCCCTCACCATGGCTGCGGAAGCCAGCAAGCCCCTGGTTGAGTGCCTGGACGTGGACAACTATGCCACCTGGCGGATCCTGATGAAGTATGTCCTCATCTCCAAGGGCCTGTGGGCCGCTGTGGAGAGCGACACGGTCGAGCATGAAGATGACCAGAAGGCACTGGCCACCATCGGCCTGTACGTGAAGGAGCACCACCTGTCCACGCTGGAGCGCTGCGGCACCGCCAAGCGAGCGTGGATGGAGCTGGAGAGAGTCTACCAAGCTAAGAGCAACGCGCGCAAGCTGCAGCTACGCATGCAGCTGAGCCAGCTGAAGATGGGCGCCACCGAGCCCCTGACCAAGTATGTGTCCCGTGCCAAGGAGATCCAGGCCCAGCTGCGCGCTGCCGGCCAGGATGTGGCGGACACCGAGATCGCCTGGTCCGTGATGTCCGGCCTGCCGTCTGCCTACGCAACGATGGCCACCGTGATCACTGCCACCACCGACGGGGACCTGATGTTGGACGGCGGGCCACCTGGCTGCACCAGCGCCCGCCAGCTGTCCAGCCTGCTCACCTACAGCACCCACCGCGTTGGGACGCGGCCAGACCGAAAGCCAGATGGCCAAACCGAAAGCCACGTGCCCCACACCCGCGCCAGCTGGCAAAACCCAACGGTCAGCTCCCCCGACCCAATGCCATCTGTCAGCACCCTCCAGCTGGCGGCGACATCTGGCAGCCACCCGCCATCTGGCCATTCTCCCATGCATGCATATAATCCCCTGCATTTCGCCTTGTTTGTCATTCTCTCCTAGTGCCCTTCCTCAGTGACTGCCCTCTGCAGTCAGGTGTAAAGCCCTTCTCTCACAACAGGTTATGGGCCCCAACCCCCGCTGCACCAACTGAACCCCAAGGAAGTTTCCCCTTTGTACCTTCATCCCTCACCATGGCTGCGGAAGCCAGCAAGCCCGTGGTTGAGTGCCTGGACGTGGACNACTATGCCACCTG